TAGTTCCTTTAGGTCCGGATCTGATAATATACGGCATACGGCTGGCACTCCTCACTCCTGCCTAGCATCGATCGCGCTGATGCGCTGGCCCGATCCGTTCGTACGTAAACTAGTCTTTTATTTAGTTTAGTTAGTCTATGGTTTGGTTCATAGACAAACAGAAAAATTAAAAGACTGCTAGAAGACATACGACGCGCAGGCAAATGTTCCTGTAGCGCATCGACGCAAGTGCCGAAATACGTCCATCTAGCTATCTGTGTTTCGACCAAATACGTTTAAAATAAAGTATACGGAGGGTGCCGCTTAAATTCCTGTCCCGATATTGAAGGATGGCTATAGAATTTCAATGCATTTCCTACATAAGTCTATCTTTGGTTTGTAGGAGGTTTGACTAAACAAGGATGAACCTATGTCTTAAACATTCGACTCAATTTTCTGTCCTCCTTCAATACTGGGACGTAAATCCTCTCATTGCTCTTATGGGGAGGCCGTCGTATATTTTATTTAAACGTATTTGGTTTCGACACTAGTCCGTTAGTCTTCCGACCTCCAGCGTTGCCAATTTGTGGGGAATTTCCCAAATTTTGGGGAATCCGGAGCCGATTGGGAATTTTGTGGGGATTAGCAATAGGCGGCGAAAATAAGGGGAGTTTCAACATTTTATTGCTGATTGAAAATGGCGTAAAATTTTTAGCTTTAAAAACGGAGCGGGACGGTATGTCTTTCCCAACTTAAAAATTATAATCTGCTTTTTACTTGTGCTTCCCTTTGCAAATGCTTCAGTTGAAAGAAAATTTAGTGACCTCAAATTATAAAAACTTGCCTGTATGAAGCTTATAAATAATTACTGTATGGGTAAGAAATAAATAGAAACAAAAAAAATGAGTTTTTTCTAAATATTATATAAAATAAATTATAATTAGGAAACATATTTGTCAGGGAATAAAAGATAATAAAAGCAATATTTTTGTATATCGTTGGTAAACTTGAGAAAGTGACTCAAGAATCGATTTGTGAAATGTTTTATTTACGTGCATTTTTTTACATATGGACTTGAACAAGTGTAATATCACAATATGGAAATTTTTGTACAAAAAATAGAGTTGCTCAATTTTTTATTTAATAAATCCTCGCGATTACAAGCTTCCTAACCATGTCTTCGATCTATGGATTACATTTAGTTTAATAACATAATTATATATTATATTTCTATAAAAATACTTTTCAGGATCCTTTGGAAAAGAGTGAAAATATTATGTTTGATCGAAGAATGGCGACCTATTTTGCAGTCTTTATAAGCACACATTGCCACCGTCTTTTTCCTGCTGCTGGTGTCCTGTTCAGCATTCATGTTTGACAATAATTACCAATTAATTGTCGAAGAATAAGACCTATTTTTGCAGTCTTTATAAGCACACACATTTGCCACCATCTCGTCTTTTCCTGCTGCTGGTGTCCTGTTCAGCATTCATATTTGACAATAATTACCAATTAGTACGCAATAAAAACGATACTAAAATTAAACCTTAAAAGCTCTCAAAACGATAATATATCGAAAATCTCTGAAAACACACTTTAAAAGGCAAAAATGCAGAAAACAACTAATCAGATTTGAGCATGTTTATGTACAATTAGCACAGCTGATTAGCGTCCTAAAATCATAGGTTAGAATAAATAAAATACGCCGTTGTCAGATTTTTCAGATTTTATCTGTTTTATCTTTGAAATCGATCAACTTAAGTCATTCTGTTTCTTTTGATATTATCAGTACATTGCGAAAAAGAACCTAAACCAAGCTAAACTAAAAAGTTTACATTTCCGTATTAACATACGTTACTTATATCCTTCTTATAATATTAATTCATTTTCAGAAAATCTTGTTTATTTTTCAAAGAAATATACTTGGCAACAGACAAATTGGGAATTGACGGGACCTTTAAATTTTAATATATCACCGCGTCTCTCTCGCGAAATTCGACTTCTTTGTTCACTGTCGTCTCTTGTCTTATCTACTCTTTGGTATTGTATCACCTGTTTTTATGTAATAGTACTTTTTTTAGTTCTATGATCTGATATGTTATGATTTGTGTCTGAATGTTTGTTTAACAATGTTATACCAAAGAGGTTATACTAAATATCAATTTGCATAGCCTAACTTTTTATGAATAAACTTTGTAGATTTTTCAGATTATTTAATTCCTTTTGTTTCCGTTTGCCTGTTATTTTTAAGATATATTGTGATTGTTTCAGATAATATGTTTTAAAAATAAAATTGCCATAACGAATAAAAATAATATATCAATTTACATAGCCCTAACTTTTTATGAATAAACTTTGTAGATTTTCAGATTATTTAATTCCTTTTTGTTTCCGTTTGTAATTTTATTTTTAAGACTATTATGTGATTGTTTCAGATATGTTTTAAAAATAAAATTACCAAATAACGAATAAAATAATTAAAATAAAAAGTGTATTTTCAATTCGACCCCCGCACCCTTTGGCTAACCTGTAAATGTCAGCTTTGTGAGAGAGATGGCGCTACGAAAATGGAACCCCGATTTTATTACAAAGGAACTTGGGCTTCTTTTTCGTTAAAGCCATATTCTAATGGTTAGTCTATGGTTTTGGTTTCTCTAGGTCCTGATCCGATAGCGTACGGCTGGCACTCCCACTCCTGCCTACCATCGGGCTAGGCGCGCTAGCCACAGGGTTGCCACAAAGAAAATTTTGGATATAGACTGGAAGGCTTGACCATAAAAATGTGGCAGCATTGTGTAGCCACCCATGACCAATAATAGTAAACTATCTAATAAGACTAAGAAAAAGACGATACGTTCATCAAATTTTAAAACGTGGTGGTAAAAACAGATAGGTCCTGCTTCCACTCGTTTGTAACGTCACTCTGTTCATTTCCATTTCATTTTCTCTCATGCCAGCAAATATTGCAATGACAAACTGCAAAATTCATGTCGCTAGAAACTAACGATTTTATGGACAGTCAAATGAATTCTACAAATTTAGTCTGTATCGCTGTAAACAAAAATTCAAGGACTGTTTTAATCGGCCAAATTCATCCATAGAAACTACAATCGCCCCCACTGATATCGTTTTCCCATAAAGGAAAATTAGAATTAAGAGTGTTTCATTCAAAATATGGAAATAAATGGGACCGATTAAAAAGTCTGTATAAAAACTGTAAACAATTCAGGACTGTTTAATCAGCCCAGAATTTGTCCATAGAAACTGCAGTCCTTGCTGATATGAGAGGAGTAGAAATAGGGGTGAATGAATATTATTCACGTATGCCAACGAGAGCAAGAGAAGTCAAGCTGACCTGAACTACAGTGACGTAATTGAGGCAGGGGTATTTGGCCCAAGTACGTGTTATGTATTATTTAAAAGAATTAAAGCAATCCTGTTTATATCCTTTAATATCATGATAATATAAAATTTGAGTAGGTATCTCCATTTATTTCACTGTTTTTGGTTAAGGGCACTCTTAGTTTTAATTGCCTTAAAAATAATAAGTATAATAATAATTTAAATCTCCCGCTCTTTCATAGTTCGTTCCTGTAGCCAACTAGAGGGCGCCAAAAGCGCAATCTTCCAACATTTTACCACGCGATTTACCACTCTCTAAAACTCTAAACTATTAACTTTCTCTATGGTTTGGTTCCTCTAGGTCCTGATCCGGTAGCGTACGGCTCATTACGGCTGGCACTCCCCACTCCTGCCTACCATCGGGCTACGCGCGCTAGCCGACCCGTCGCCGTCGCGTATTACTCTATATCGGTCACAGTCTCGATCCCGGAATAGGTCCTGAGGAACTAGTTCTTTGAGAAACCACGTAAAAAACCACACAACTAGTTCCTTTCATACCGGGGTCGGAATAGTTCATTGGAACTAGTTCGTTCACGAACTACACACCTCTAGTCTAAAGTTGCTTCGCGTCACTTCAGTGATCTATCGGGAACCGGTGTTTCGACTTATAGAATGTTCAGCCATCGTTCAACGTCACGTCATATACTGTCGAACTCTCTCAATCACTTGACAACCAGATGAAAGAGATAGTTTTTAGTAATTGTCATTGTCATTTGATTTGGGGTTATAATTTTATTGACGGACAACGATCAATGTCAAAATTGAAAATCGATTATAGCTGTCAAACAAAATTGAATTTTTTTATTTTAAAAATACCTTAAAGATTTAACCAAAACGAACAAGAGTTCATTGCTAAGCTTATAAATTATTTTTCTCGAGAAAGAGACGCTGGCTGGTAGAACACTCTTGCCCGTGGACGCCGTATATGAAGCAAGTTCAATGCAAAGGTGTAATATTCCTATCTAAAATACAAATTGATAGCGTTGTTAAATAATAATATGCGAGTTGCTGATGGTTCAGAAATAGAAATTTCAACAGTCCAAAGGATTGGAACTAAAGGCATTGTAACTGATGAAGAGTTCAAGAAAAAAATAATAAATGCTGAAAAAAAAAGCGGAACTTGCTCAATCAATAATATAGGAACGTACTTAAAATTTTCTAAACAATATGAACTGATCTCAGACACACCCTGAAACTCATATTTTACATGTAATGATGACGTAACGTTGAACGATGGCTGAACAGTCTTTAGCTGGGCTGTTGCCCTTTTATAAATGAGCCTGAGCAGTGCAAACTCATTTATAAATTCATTAATTTTACATAAACGTCTGTCATGACACTTATCGTGAAAAATCCCTATTCTTATAAATTATTATTTTAAATAGAATTTAAAGCTTTATTCAAGTGCCAATATGAATAGCGTTTCATAGAAGTGAAAATAACGTTTGGTACCCGCATTCTATTACTTACTCTGATACCTAAATTGATCGAGTTCTTTCAGTTTATCAAGAATATACAGGACGGTCTACGAAAAAAAAAACGAGTGCCATTGTAAAATGCTTTTTTATGAAAACTAAATACTATTTAAAAGGGGTTGAATGGTTGGTAACACTACTTACCCATCTTTAACTAAAGCTACACTGCCAGACATGTGTGGATCGTCAGGATCGGGAGAAACAGTGACTTCCATGAGTTTGACGTATTTCCAAGCTGAATCTGGGTTAATTCTGGCTCTTAGTTGAAGTTTGGTACCTACAAAATAACGTAACCTACAATACTATACTCTATTTTTTTTCTCAGGTAAGATTTCGACAGACGATGCAGCTTGACAGTATTATCCAAATCTTTGGAATTTTACGTGGATATGTACAATATTTACCGGTCAATACTGTTGAAGGTCGGTTTTACAACTTTGTCCACTGTATTCATACCAATACCATATGATCGCAAAAAAAATGGCGTCCAGTTGGCTGGGAAATGACGATCGATGACATTTCCCATATAAATTTACATATAAAATTTTTTTTCGCCGTTTTTTTTTTCGATCATACGGTACTTACCAATAGGTACTGCTTGATCAACTGGTAGTTCGTTACTTGACGTGGCGTTACTTATTCTAGACGCTGGAGCCTCTTTATATAGAGCCACTTCGTATTCCAGTCGTCCCGGTGTCTCTTCCACTACTCCAGATACTCTAGCTCCATGAGGACTGAAAATAAAATCATATATTTATCGTAGAACATGTAATTGTTTAATTAATTACTTTAATTACATTAATTAACTATATTAATTGAGCGTCCGGATTGCACAACGACCTTAGCGCGTGGCCGCGGGCAGCCCAGTAGGCAAGCGAGACAGCGACGCGCCGATTTAACAAAATAAATAATTTTAAACCTGCCGTCATTTCGTTAATAATTATCGTAGCGTGTTGATTTTTGCATAGAAATACTCATGAGTCTTTAGCGCTTCCGACAAGCCTAAATAACTGGATTATTTGTTATATTTTCGATTTGTTTACATTCTTCTTCTTAAAGTGCCTATCCTCTTTGGATGTTGGCTATCACATTGATCCATATTACTTTGTTCACTGCCGTTCTGAACAAAGCTGTTGACGTCAATCCGGTCCATGTTCGTAGATTTCGCAGCCACGATATTCGTCTGCGTCCCGCTGATCTTCTGCCTTCTATTTTCCCTTTGCAGTATGAGTTGAGTAGGCGGTATTTCTCATTCCGGCATGATGTGTCAAGTATTCTAGTTTTCTTCGTTTGACATTTACCAGAAACTCCAACTCCTTGTTGATGCGATGTAGTACAGTCTCATTTGACACCCGATGCAACCCACGAAATCCTAAGCATGCGCCGATAGCACCACATCTCAAATGCCTCCACGCACGCTTGCATCCACGCCTCTGCTCCATATAGAAGGGTTGAGAGCACGTAGCATCTCAGGATTCTGATTCTAGTGCGGACGTTGAGGGACAGGTTGCATAGTATATTTCTGCATTTTGTTAAATGTCCCTCTCGCGATTTCGATTCGGTGTTTTATTTCAGCGAGAGTGGTCCCAGCAAATCTTTAGTCAGGGTGCAGCCCAGGTATGCAACTGTCTCGGCCGCTGGAGAACGATGTTGTTAGCAGTGAACTGAATGTTGTTGATGTAGTTCTTGCTAATGATCAACGTTTGAGTCTTCTTATGCAGTTCATCTTCATTCCTGTATCTGCTGCATGTATTCGCCACGATCTATAAGCCTTTTGGAGACCTTCAGCGGTATCGGCGAACAGAACGGTATCATCTGCGTATCTCAAATTGTTTACTATTTCTCCGTTTATTACCAGCCCATCCTCTGTGCCATCCAGTGCCTCTCTAAATAGATGTTCCGCAGAGGCGAGAATATACAGCCCTGTCGCACTCCCCTCCTTACACTAAACTCTTCTGAAGTTTCGTTCTCGATTCGAACCACGGCCTTTGTTGACGATAAAGTTTTGCTACTATCCCTATCGTCTATTCCTTGATTCCTGTAAAATCGAGATGAGTTTGTCATGCTGGACTCTATCAAAGGCCTTTTCGAGTCTATGAAGCACGCAAAGACATCTACATTGACGTCGCGTGCTCGTTGGATTAGGGACTTGTATTGAAAACAGAGCCTCCCTGGTGCCCAATCCCTTTCTGAAGCCGAACTGAGTTTCACCTACGTTTTCATCGAGCTTTCTATATATACGTGTTTGATGATATTAAGGAGGATTTTTAGGACGTGGCTCATCAGACTGATTATCCTGTGATCAGAGCATTTGGTCGCTTTTTGCCTTCTTGGGGAAGCGGTATAAATGTTGATAGCAGCCAGTCGTTTGGGATTGGACCACCTGTATAAATATTGTTAAATAGGGTGGTCAGTAGTTGAACTTGTTCCGAGTCCAGCAGTTTAAGAACTTCTCCGTGTATCTGATCCGGTCCGGAAGTCTTGTTGTTTTTCAGACGTTTGATAGCTGCTTCCACTTCTTTCTGTGTAATGGTCGGCCCTATATTGCCAGTTCCTGCAGTTATATCGTCGCTATTTTCGTTTCCGAAGAGCTCCTCCATGTACTGCCTCCTCTTGTTTACATTACCCGAGCATATTATAACTTTGAAATAAAAATCTCTGTTATAAATTTTAAAACTGACACATATGAATACTATCATTTAATTAGTTATACATTTAGTTACAACATATTCAAAATTTAGGTCTATCGGTTTATGCTAGCAGTAATAACGAGTATAAATAAAAAAATGGTCAGTACAACGCTCGCCGTTTTTAGCGCACGTTCAGCTTTGGTTTTAGTTTTAGCGCTATTTTTACAGAAAATAAATTCTGAACTTTGATCAAATGACAAGAACATTATCATTGCCGATTTCTCCTGGTTATAATGTAGTTCTTTTTTCAAAATATTGCATTGTTTAAAATATATTAAGTATATTAGTCTTTTTTTACTTACAAACTCCCTGCAAAACCCGCAGCCTTGTTTTCTATGATCGTGGGTTCGGGTGGTTTGCACATTATAATCAGTTCTTGATCTGACTGCATCACTACTCCTGGGAATTGGGGAAACCATACCCTGACATGGACAAATCCCTGAAATTATTAAAAATTAACATATTTTTGGTAATAGATATTTACGTTACAAGTAGGTTTTCCATACAAGTGTTTGAAAATTAGGGATAAGTGAATTCTGAAATCCGGACAAAATCTGGAATTCGTCAGATATTAAATTATCTAACGAAGAATACCTAGTGGTGATTTTTGTTGTCTGTCATTAATTAACAGATAAATTGTATTTTCTGTCATTGTTTTGATGTCAGATATTGCTCCCTGAGTCATTGGACAGACGGGCAAACTTTATTTTAAAGGAGAAATTAAAGGCAATTGTGGAAAAGTGTTAGGGTACTAAGATTTTTACTTAAAAGTGTTAGTCTTAGTAGACTTTTACTTTATATATTAGAAACGACATCAGAAGTGGGATTATCTTTTTTTCATAAAAGAGGAAACTTTGAGCATTTCATAAGTTACTACACACTTTCGTTTTAGCATTATTAAATGCTTAATTTTATTGGCAAAATTACATATGGCATATATTATATTTTAACTATAAATAGTTTAAAAAAAAAAATTTTTTTAGCCTTTATTAAAAAAATATTAAAAATACAAGAAATACTGAAATCAAAACTACATAATAATAAAAGGTATTTACTCTAGTGGGTCCGAACTTAATTTTGCTACAAATATCGTAATCTTAAATCATACAGGGTGTTCAAAATTCTATGCCAAACTTTCTAATATAAAATAGATTTTCTTCTTTTTTTTTAAACGAAACAACTGTGTGTTACTTTATTATTAAAAAAACGAACACTCTTTGTATTTAAAGTATTTCAGAATTTTTAAGGGTTTTGCGAATATTAGTGGCATTATATTACATATGGGGTTTTCAACAGTAATTTTTTATCAAAGCCACTCAATGATTTTTGTCTGGTATTTTACCGTTGAAAGAGCCATATGTAATAAAACCGCTAATATAGAATATAAAAAAAATGTTTATTTTTTAATTCTCCAACTAACAAAGAATAATATACAGGGTGTTCCTGTTAAAAAAACGAAGAAAAACTATTTTATATTTTAAAAAGTTTGGCATGCAATTTTGAACACAATGTATGGTTAAAGATTACGATATTTGTAGTAAAGTAAGTACAGACCCACTACAGTAAATACTTAATACAGTTTTGATTTCAGGACATTTCTGGTATTTTTAATATTTTTTTTTTAAAAAAGGCTGATTTTTTTTCTTATATATTAATATCTTTGAAACTATCAACCTATATTTAATAATATTTTAGGATTATGCAAAGTGATCAAAAAGGAAGCTAAAAATGCAATAATATACAGGGTGCTCCGTTTAAAAAAAAATTATCCCGATCCACTCATACTTTTTTGGGCCACCCTGTAGAAATTAAAATATTTTTCTGAAATACATTATCGATGTATTTTATAAATCTCTCCGCCTTGTCTGCATTCTTTGTCTTGCATCTTTTAATATTCTGTATGGTCTCGTGCCCCATATTTCGCCCATATGGCGTTGCAAATTCTAAATTCAAACGAAAAACCATCAATAGAACGAGTTTAGAATCCCATTAAAATAACAGAGAGTAGATGAAGGAAAAAAGAATGCGCGAAAACGGTAAAAAGTTGTCGATACCTTTTTCAGAATTATACATCGTACTGAAGAAAATTCACCTATGGTACTCTCTTTCAATCTCTAAAGTACGTCTGCTGATCTGACAAGTTAGAAGGGCATATATGTTATACATTATACATATCAATGTAACCGTCACAAAGATCTAGCCGATACTCCGATTTCAATGAAATTTGGGGTGCCTATGTTTCGCTAGAATGTAGAATGTAGAATGTAGAATGTTTAGGAGGGGAGTTGATCACCGCAACCTTATACATCTACTGTGTGTTCCCCTTTCTTGAGTTATAACGAGTTATAACTCATCATACAGTCTCAGGGCTTTAAGAAAAGCCAGTATCTGAGACGGCTCCACAGAGGCCAGCTCTCCATCCTCGACATCAGACGTACCAAGGTTCATGGCACGAATGGTCGTCGTCTCGGCACACTCAGTGATAAGGTGTTCTGGTGTTTCCCCATTTTCCCCACAAAATCTGCATTCGCCGTTGTTTCTCAGTTTCATCTTACTGAGGTGTTCGTTGAGGAGACAGTGTCCTGTTAGAAACCCCGTGACAATCCAAAGATTGTTTTTACTTAAATCAAGGAAAACTTTTGATTTTTCTCGGTCATAAGTTCTAAGGAACTTTTTCGAGTGTCCTTAGACCGTTGGAGGACACCCATTCCAAGTTACGGATGGAGTCTTCCAGATTCTTCAGTTCCGCTTCAGTTGGTTCCCGTTCGGAAAACAGAACGGTTCTGGTCCAGTTAGTGGAGTGTTCGCTCCTTTTCTAGCTAGATCATTTGCTTTTTCATTGCCTTCTATCCCTTAGTGAGCAGGCACCCAGAGTAGGAGGACTTTATTTTCTTTGCCTAATTTGTTGAGCTTCTCCAGGCATTCTTTGACCAACTTCGAATTGATGGTTACTGAGTTGATCGCGTTAAGTGTGTTTTGCTAAGCGCTTTAACATTTGACTATTCCAGAAATCAAGAAAAAGTACGGGAAGGGTGAAAACTGCCACCATCCCTACATAAATTTAAGTAGAAATATTTCTCAACTCCACCGACCACTAATTTTTTCGTAGAATGGTTTTCCTAGTATTTACTACACAGGGTGATCCGAACTGTATTCCAGAAACTTCTGCAGCATATTCTGAAGATAAAAATGAGAAAAAAGTTCGTATAAATGTATGTCCTAAAATGCTTAATTTTTGAAGTTTTATTTTTATTTCGATTTTTTCCAAATAATTTCTGTCATATACATTTAGGAGTTTCCGGAATACAGTTCGGACCACCCTGTATTTTTCGCCTCTTGTAAAAAAGAGACCTAGACCTTAGAAAAGCCGACCTACAAAATATACAGTGAGTCCAATATTCCATGGACATAGAACAACTATAAATATTTTTTGAATAAAACTAATAAAACTAAACTATAGTTTCTCTGCTATACTTCTATACAAAAGTGCTTCGTTTGTCCGTTAGAGGGCACCAGTCAAAAATATATTCGAACGTTAATTAATTTAAAATTTATGAAGCTTAAGCTTCATTCAGAACCACGCAATGTGGAATAAATTAGTGGTTTCAATTAGCGCAGAAGTTTGTTTTACCTTTAATGTTAAATGCTCTGGTTAAATGTAAGCATTCAGAACGTCAATTAGTAGAAAAAGTTATCAAACTTTTGACTTTTTCACTAACTATACTTCAAAATTTGCGAGAGCTATGTCATTTTGGCCTTTGATTATCTTACGTCAAGAGAAATTGTGGTTATAAATCAAAAGTTGATTGTTTTATTTGTAAGCTAATAGTGGAGTGCTTAAGCCCTTATGAGATATACTCTGTTTTTTTTTACAGGTAAGATTTCGACAGACGATGACAGAAGAAAAGCAGATGACGTCCCATACCAATCTATTTATTTTACTAAAAAAGTTTCTGATAATTTTAAGTTATCTATGGACACACACAAATATAAATCCGTCATACGTCGTGTCTTGTTGTTTTTAACCAGTTTTATTGGTTTATTTAAAAATGACAGATCGTATTTCAATTTATTGGTTTGACGGAACGATGAACGACAAACGGACGCCGATGCGTATGAACTCGCCTTTAGATTTTGTCATTTTTGACGCTTGTCAAAGTCTTGCCAAATTATAGGTTATAATTTTACCTTCAACTTTTGTTAAATACCCTGCGGTTTTGGAAGATAATGCATTTTGATTCGTATTATTACGTGTGTTTTGTGTGTTTGAAGTCAAGTGGAGGAAAAATCGAGTGAAAATTAACTGTAGACCCAGAGCACAGTTTATGATTAATATTCGCTGCCGATCGACTTATTGTAAGTTTATCGCTAAGAAACTGCCGTTTGTCAGCTTTTTAAATTGATAATGAATTGTACCTAAGAACCGTACATATTAACTAAGGGACTACAAGAAGAAGATTAAATGAAGCAAATCTTATGTCAAGAAGGCCTGTTTCGGGACCAGAACTTACTAGATATGGTAGAAGGATCAAACTAAACACATACTAAAAATGGAGCAGCTGTAAAATATCGACATCACACGATAGGTAAATAATGGATTTGTACTGCAGAAAATAATGTCAAAAGGTACTGGTTTAAAAAATTAAGATTAAAGTTAATTAATCAACCTTTAAGGTTAAAATTTGCTAGGTGTTATTATTAATAAAATAGTTTGTTTTATTTACCTATGTTGTTTTATTTATTCCTGTGGAATATTACAAATTTGTATTTGTACATAAGTTATATTGATAAATATAATAATAAGTCAAATGCGGGTAGTTTCATAAAGCTTAAAAGTAAATAATAGTTCTTTTTTATATTTTTTTGGTATGTAGTGTCTTGTTCTTGTTTGTTTTATATTAACACATACCGTTTTTTATTAAATAAAATAACTCGATAACATTTTTTCAGTTTTATACAGTTTTTTCACAATATTTTGAAGTAATCACTTGTCATCTTGTCAATCAAATTTTAAATAATTCCTGCTACCGTTCCAGTTGTACCAACTTATTTCTTTGTAAAATAAAATAAACTACTTTGAAATTAAAATCAAGACACATCTATCACTGTCAAGGATCTTCTCGTTGGACAGACTATACAAACCTCGGAATTCATTTACTGAAACGAACCTTTTTTTTAAAAGAATTTTGCATTGTATTAATATAAGATATATTACAAAGTTTATCTAATTAAATTTGTTGTGTTCACTTTACTATTTAAATAAACACACACATATAGAAATGCATACATACAAGATGGCTCCGTTTTTCTTACAAAGGTCTGTATCAGGATTCCTATTTGAGATTTTCACTCCAAACCTTTTACAAAATATATGTTTAATGGTAGTTCACATTTCAAAATATTTTTATAGATATACAGAATGAGTCAAATATATATCATTTATTTATTCGAGTTTAGTGAATTTTGCTATAAAATTCTGGTTCCAAAAAATACCTTAATACCATACGAAAATATACTAAAATAAAAAATTAAAAGCAACGAAAAAAAATGTTTTATCTATAAAACTTCTAATCGAGACGATCGACTTATTGTAAGTTTATCGCTAGATAAACTGCCGTTTGTCAGCTTTTTAAATTGATAATGAATTGCACTTAAGAACCGTACAATATTAACTAATGGACTACAAGAAGAAGACGGAGGAAGAAAAATCTTATGTCAAGAAGGCCTGTTTCGGGACCAGAACTTACTAGATGTGTAGACTAGGCCCCAAAGCAAAGGCATGGTCTTAATGTAAAAATTACGAAAAATGTTAGTGCCTTCTTTAAAACCGAATATGTCCATACGAAATAAAGCTAATGAGATGAACCAAAAAACAAACCATCGAGAAAGGATGTATCTAGATGATAAAATAATTTTTAAATTTCTTGCTGTTTTAACGTATTTCACAGGGTGTTTCAAACTTCCATCAAAAATATCAACATTTTGTTTTCCCTCGTTATAATTAACAGATGGGGAGTTTATATTTTTAATTTAGAAAAAGATACTAAGAAGTCAAATAATTTTAAATCACACTGCTTAAAAAACTCATTCATCAAAATCGGTCCATTAAAATAAAATATATTAACCTTTAAAATACATCAAAGTTTAAGATGCCCATTTTTCGTGCCGGTGAATGTATTTCAAAAACTATACATTTTAGTCATATAACTTTCTAATGAAACAAACCTTTAGTTTTTTACTAGAATCCAAAAATCAATTAATATATAGGGTGTTTCATTACAAAAAACATAACTTTGATGTGTAACTTTTTTTGGGGACACTCTGTAGAACTCTACATAATTTTATAAAATACTTTAAATTGACTTACATAAGCTCAGAAAATTTCACTTCAATATAAACTTTTGTTCTCTTCGCCACCCTGTATAATTCGATTTCAATCAAAATTTCAATGATTAGAATATAAGCAGAATAGGTGCATAATATGCATTAGATTTATTTATTTCAATAAATTTACTTAGAAAAAGAATTAAAAAATCAAAATATTAAGAAGGAAATAATTAAGAATTTACGAAAATTACTAAAATAAAAAATTAAAAGCAACGAAAAAAAATGTTTACCATTTTAGTATTTTATCTATAAAACACAATACAGAAGGTTTCACTTTAATACATTCACACCATAGATTCACACCACGGGGATGTCACTTGTATGGGAAAACAGGCAACAGTCAAATTTAAACGTGCCAGGACCAACGACAAAGAAAGCAACATTTGCCAGGCATTGGCTTTCTTTGTCACTCACATTGCTTAAATCATGATACCGCGGCCATTTTGTCAACAAAGAAGCTGGCCGGCTGTCCTGGCAAGTGATTTAAAACAATTTTGCTTTTTACAATATTAAATTACCATTTGGATGTATTTAATGCGATTATTCAATTAACTGGTAAGTCAGAAATTACACACAAATACTTTATTCGTAAATACAACTAAGATGTAAACGTAGTTTTGTATTTTTAGATTTCAACTTTTGCAAAGACCCGCCGATAGAACTTGCCTGGCAGCGTACCTGTTTAACTAAACGTATTATTTCCTGATAATAATATCAAAACACGTAAGTACCTCTATAATTTATGATGACAAATGATTTTGATTATGTTTTATGTTATTTAAATACTTTCTAACCTCAAATAATAGTAAGATCCTTGTTTATATCGCACAGCCCGTTCAAAACTGTATTGTCTTCAAAAAATGTTTACAAAACAAACAATTATTACAAAAACAATGTCCTTTTAATCTGATTTATACCTCAGAAGGATGCCAGTAAAATTTTATTAAATCAACATTATATTATTTGGCCATTAATATCCAAAAAGGAGCATATTGCCTTAACTTAAATTTTCTTTTACTTCTCTTGACAATGTTCTCTATATTCTCTATTTTGAGTTAGTAAACTTTTGAACGGGATGTGCGATATATAAAATACATAATATATCCAAGGGTATGATCTGATAAAAGTATTTTTTGATGCATTTTTTGGTTGTTTATGTTTTATTCAGCTTATATTTATTTGGTATAACAGTTTTTTTTGCCTTTGGAATGGCATGCATTGAGGCTAGATAGTGTTTCATTAGATCATTAAAGGAATTTAAATTAGCATATATTTTTTGTGATATTAGTGTGTTATCATGATACAGGTAGTTGTATCATAGTGCCTTATGCATGTTATTTACCTATTATATACTTATGTATTATCAGTAAATAGATGATAACATACTACTAAAATGTATAGTATGTTTATCTTTCAATTTACTAGTTATTTGCAAAATGTATTTTGAACAAATTTAAGTCATTAATTGATCATCTTTCTTTTTCAGGTTCCGGATATTCTTTTTCATTGTTAAAAAAATATATATATTTCAATATTATTGTAATATAAATCGCAGCTCTAAAAAATAAATGATATTGTTTACTAATGTGTAATTTATTTACTGTGAATTTTCTCTGAAAATAATAAGTCTTTAATAATATCATTGATTTGCTGTGTAAAGTTAATAGACATATTTTTTAATACATTAAATTATATTAAAGTAATAAAAAATATGTTTATTAAGTTTAAACAGTAAGTCAGTGATAGTTTTAAAAATATTTTTTTTTAAAATTTCCTCTCTTTTAAGCCCCGCCCCTCCAATTCCCCTCAATTTGGCTAGTACTGCCAGGCGACACCAGGTGGCGTCTGTTTCCATTTTTTAACATGAAGTTAGCATTTCTTTAATGTACCTATTCTCTGATTCACACTAATTGAATTCCGAGGTAAAAGTCTCTGGGCACTCCACTATAAATATTAGCTTTCTCCATGGATACAACAACAGGCTAACGCAAGCTGTTGATAGGATATTTTATTAATTTTAATTGTGTTTTTTAGACATTGTGAATGATCGTAAACAAAAAGTATAAAGTGTAATTGAAACCACTAATTTATTCCACTAATTGCGAGGTTCTGAATGAGGCTTTATTGTCAAATATCATTTGTGATACTGACATATAATTAACAAAGAATATTGTATTATATTTTATTTATAATAAAAGTGAAAATAATAAAGTGTTTACTTACGTTTCTTTTAAGTACTCCACATTTTCCAAAATCGCTTATCTTCAAGTTGTACAACAAGCCAGTGGGATCTGTCAGATCTTGCCTAATTTGACAGGCTAGATCGGTGTCAGGATCGACCGATCTGTCATCTGCGAAAAGCGGATGTCCTTTGAAGCCTTCCGGTTTTCTTAACTTCGCCATGATGTAGTCCTTGGTACTTCCTAAATTGCTGACAGCGAATGAGCATTGTATCTCGGTAACTAGCAAAGTAAAAGTAAAAACAACGTTTTAAAAACAAGCTTTTTCTAACATATATTTCTGGAAATTCACTACCTAGGAGGAGTAGGTTCGTTTGTGATGGGTAAATAAAAAAAAATACTACCGTATGATCGAGGAAAAACGGCGTCAGCGATGGCTATGAAATGAAGATCGCTGTCATTTTATATGGGAAATATCAACGATCGTCTTTGCCCAGCCAACTGGACGCCATTTTTTTCGATCATACGGTATTATAGATACATAAATATGTATACAGGGTTCGGCAATAGTGCTTCGGGCATCTGTAGCTCTTAGAATAAATATCTTGAGAATTTTGTTTAAATGCAAACCTAAAGTATGTACTAGGATGTATTTCAGGAAAATATTTTAACTTCTACAGGGTAACTCAAAAAAGTGTGAGTGGATCGGGGTGATTTTTGTTTAAATGGAACACCCTGTATATATTGCATTTTAGGCTTCCTTTTAGATCACTTTACATAATCCTCAGAGATTCGATAGTTTCAGAGATATTGATAAATAAATAAAAATATGTATTTTCAACCTTTTTTTTTAAATTATTAGAAATACAATAACTGTCTAGAAATCAAACTGTATTAGGTATTTATTTTAGATGGTCTATACTTACTTCGCTATAAATATCGTAATTTTAAACCATACAGGGTGTTTAAGATTCTACGACAAACTTTCTAAAATATATTTTTTTTGTTTTTTTTTTAAATCGAACAAACACCCTGTATATTACTCTTTTATTAGTTGGAAAAATGAACATTTTTAATATTTAAAGTACTTTAAATTTTTAATGGTTTCGTAGATACACGCAATATTATTTCATATAGCTCTTTCAACAGTAAAATACCAGAGAAAAATCATTGGGTGGCTTTCATAAAAAATTACTGTGGAAAATGCCACATGAAATATAGAACCGCATATATTTGCGAAACCGTTAAAAATATTGAAATATTCTAAATATAAAAATGTTCGTTTTTTAATTCTCTATCTATTGAAAAAATAATATACAGGGTGTTCCAATGAAAAAAAAATGAAGAAAAATTATTTTATGTTTTAGAAAGTTTGACGTAGAATTGTGAACATCCTGTATGATTCAAGATTACGATATTTATAGCAAAGTAAGTAAGTTTTGTTTTCAGGACAGTTCTTGTATTTTTAATAACTTTTTTAAGAAGGCCTGTAAAAAATATATTTTTTATTTATTTATTATAATATTATACAGATGCCCGACGTACTTTTGCCGGACCCTGTATAAAATAATTCTGATCGTATTTAGCACGCTGTAGACTGTACCGGTAGATTCGAAATGATAAGAGTATTATGTTTATTTGAAGAATAAGTGTAGTGAATTGGAAATTTACAATATAAAGGAAGTCAATTTATTAAAGAGGCGTAGCTATGAGTACCGTAAGTACTATATAGTTGACACGTCGATAAAGGTCATAAGCATCATTAGTTTAGTCGTTTAGTGCATTTACAATGCGCGAACAGGGTCAGAAAAGTCCGTAAAGCAATTTACATAAATGGCTTTTTTTGACTCGGTTTTAGTATTCATACCTATCTTTAATAATATATCGTTTTTACAGAGTTCGTTTGAGGTAACATTCTTCGATGTTTTATTGATCTGTACCTACTTTTTTTTATGTATCTGCCTACCGGGTGCGTCTCAAAAGTGGTTCACCCCTATAACTTTTTTGTTTTTTTAGGTAAAAAAACGAGATTTGGCATTTTAGTATATGACATAAATTAGGATTTATTGACGTATTCAATTGTTTTAGGTCACTTCCTGTTTCACCGGAAATGACTACAACTTTTGATTTTTAAATGGCACCCTCAGTATTTTTTTACTGTATTCGACAGAAAATGACACTCTGAATAGAATAACATATCACATGTGACATTTGACATTTTCGCGTATGGTTTATTTAAAATTATAACTTGCGGTTCTTAACGAAAATTTGACTCGAAATACCAAGTGTGTGGTATCAAATTATTCGTAAAAAATGCTTTTTCCAAATATGATAATGAGCCATCCTCGTTCCATTTGAAAAAAATGAGATATGATTAAAAATACGATTTGAGCATTTTCTAACAGGCCAGGACAAGTCACTAAAAAATTAGACGATCCAATCTATTTTTCCAAGACTCCTTGATTAAGAATTAGCGTTTTTAACATAGCCATGGCACTCTAGATTGAAATTTAAAATACAATTTTTTATTTAGTGAGAATGTCACAAGTTGACATATGATATGTCATTCTATTCAGAATGACATTTTCTATCGAATAAAGCAAAAATATACCGAGGTTGCCATTTAAAAATCAAAAGTTTGAGTCATTTCCGGTGAAACAGGAAGTGCCCAAAAACAATTGAATACGTCAATCAATCCTAATTTATGTCATATACTAAAATACCAAGTATCGCTTTTTTAAAAAGGTGAGCCACTTTTGAGACGCACCAAGACACTGTAATTTTAGTATGAATTTTGACCAATCAGCATATAACATCGTCATCAAATGCCATTACATTAAATAACCCACGATCAATTCTTGATACTCATCATCATTTACCAATAAATAATACTCGTATCTGACCCATTTTTTTAAACTAATTGTTCATCGACTATAAATAACCTAACTGTAAAAACTATAACTGCCAAAATTTTACATTACATACCTTCATAATCCTGGGCATCTATTGTTGTCTGAAACAATAAGAAAAAATAGTATTAATTACTGTTGAACAATAGGATTGACCGAAAAAAAATGCCGATGTGAATGATAAGGTTACAGAATGCAAGCAATGTCTCTTAGACCGTTCTTCAATTAAGGAAAACAATTTATAAAGTGCATTAACTTGTCAGTTGTCGTTATTGTGATGTTCCATTGGCTCTCACCGTAATTCAAACCGTATATTTTTATGTAATTTGAGTGGAAGAATTGAGTAAGAATTTAAATTATTTTGAGTGTTGTTCAATGTATTAGTTATACCATGCATCTGATCGAAAAAAAGGCGTCAAAGACAGCTAGGGAATGACAATCAATGATAATTTTAGCGTGGTCAAGCCCTAGAAGATGTCGAATTCTATGTGACGGAGAATATCGGTTTTTCGAGCAATTATTGTTGGAACAACAAAAAGAGACGAACCTCCAGGTTTTTTCAAGGAATGAACCCGGAACAAAGACATAGTACTGTTTGACCAGCGGAAATGAAGCTACGGAAGGAATGCGAGAAAAAAAAATCGATATTGCCACGTTTATCTATAAAATTGCAAAATTGCCAGATATGAACTATAAATTTAATATATTTTTATTATATATAATGTGTTTAGTATATATTCTGACGTATATTACTAAGGAATTTTAACGTAGATCATATTGTTCGATATGTTTTATTTAATAACTTATTTCTTTCATTCTGTATAATCTGCTTATTATGAAAGTTGAAGATTTTTCAACGATATCATTGGCAAACCGGCATCGCCGCGCATGGCTGCCTATTCATCGAACATGATTGGCGAGAGTACGTCACAGGATTTGTTAACACGCGGTTGCCATGGCTTTTACGCCTTTCCTATTCGCTTGCTTTATCCCCAACTTCAGGGTCTCTTCTGAAAAGAGTAGGAATATTGAATACTATTGAAATATCCAGTGGCGGTGCCATTTTTTTGATCATTATTACTTTATTTCATTATTTTATACCGGTCATCCTAAACTTTATTCCTATATTTTTCGTATATTTGATAGTTAAGTTGTGTTTTATTGTTTTGTTATCTTGTTATAATGTTTTTCGTTCGTAGTTTTTAATTATTAATATCAAGTTTGATCGTATATTTGTGTTTTAAAATGAATAAATTTGTTAAGGGTAAGACGCTACATAGTCAGACAAGAAAAATAATAGCTAATTTATATAGGTAAGTTAATAATAACGTGGATGAAATCTCATTTGGTTTATTTCCTTGTGTTCATAATAGGGTTTGCGATGAAGAAGCTACAGAGAGTTCGCTTAAGTTGCCGCTTAAGCGTAAACTTGAGCGGATATTTCTTTATACCGGAGTTAGCGTATCGGCTATAAAAAAATTCACACAGAAGACAAAAAAAGACTGAAAACTAACCCCGATAAAATGAAATCTAGCTCTGGAAAGAAACGACCACGTGAGACTGCTGTCGAAAAGCTCGACGACTTTTTCGAAGTGGTCAGGAATTTGATAAATAGATTTTATCTCGAATTCAAACTCGTCCCCACAATTAGAAAGCTTTTGCAAAAATTGCAAGAAGAATCGAATTTTCCTTTTGCAGGGAAACGCTTAGGGGGTTATTAAAATCAAATGAATTTTTTGGCGTAAATGTCAAAATAACATATAAATATTAATGGAGCGGCCCATTATATTGCAGAGAGAGATATAAATATATACGCGAAATTCGAAAATATAGCCAAGTATTATCTATTTGGATGAAACATATGGGTAGACAATGACCTAACCTTTAAAAAGTGCTGGCGGAGCGATACCATATCTGGTGTAATAGACAATATTGGATCTACTGGTGAGTAAAATTATGTTTTGTTTGCGCTTCCAAAGTTAACTATTTTCAAGATTTTTTTTTGCTGGAAATAGTTATATCTAAATTAATCTAAAATTATGTATTATACAAAAAAAATATAGTTAGTACAGATATATAAATAAATATACCTCAAGACTCAGTCTTGATTATCTGCTGATGGCAGACATGGTTAGCGAAACGTGCGTCCAGTGTAAAATTAAAAGTGTTTTGGTGTATTGTACTGATTTAGTGTTTTATTTTGCTGTGTAACATCAAAGGTTCCAACCCCCAGCTGTAATTATTTCTTCTATTATATTAACAACACAATAATAAAATGATTCAAAATATTTAAGGGAGCTTTAATAAAAGCTTTTAGTGTTTATCTGCTAACTCAACAGTAACGATTCAAACAGCATAAAGTTTTTTGAAAAAAATTATTAATCTGAGTATTATATTTTTAGGATACACATTATTTTCATATAACACCGTACGCCCATGCCTATTTTATGAATGAAATTGGGCGTGTTTTGTTTACAACTGCGTTCCCCTGCCGATACCCCGTAGCTACAGATCCGTTGGTCACACTATAGACATTATTTATGAAATGTCAAATTTGACACCAAGACAAGTCGCGCAACTATGTTCGTTAAAAATTAGATATTTTTAAACAAAAATCATGATCGTGAACGTAAAAAATTATAATCAACACAAAATAAGAACAACAAAATTGCTATTTCATATTTTATTTTAAAACCTTACAACTATACATGGTGGTCCGAACTGTATTCCGGAAACTGTATTTCGGCGGAATATTCTGCAGATAAAAATAAGCAAAAAAAATGCTTAGTTTCGGAGATACAGGGTGTAGAAGTTTCATTTTTATTTCGATTTTTTCCAAATAATCTCTGAAGTAACGTCAATATTTGGATGAAAATTAGTGTCTGGGAGTTTTTTAACATGAAATATTTGACTTATGACTCCTATTTGAATAGGGCGCCACCTACATGTGTTTTAACTGTTTTGAAGAGTAATAACTTTTCGTCCGTACCTGTATAAAACTACTGAGTGAAAACATGGAAAATTATTATCACCATTACAATTACAAATGATTAATTCGACGCGAACGAAGTGGCGGGTACACGCTAGTTATTGATAAAACCGCAGATCAAACTTCCATTTTATACGCTAGTCTTTACTCCGTCTTATCTGACAGATAAAACCTTATGTCTAGACGGTACTTTAGTCGCAAGTATTCTTTTGTCGCAAAATCTATTTGTTTATAACAGTTTTAAAAAAAGTCTTTTTAATTTTTTTAATCCTCCAAAAAATGAATAAAATACATTATTACTAAATAATCTTCATTAAATTCTAACAAAAAGCTCCTACATTATAATTATAACGCTCACACAGCTTTATTAATTCATTAAATTAACCATTTAACAAGCGATTTATTGCTCACCGTGTACACACAGGTACAAAATCATTAATCTTAACAAACGTCTCATTAACGCTTTGGTAAATGAGCACTTTCTTGTTGATTTTATTCGATGCGATAGAGTGAGCGAGATACCAAAGAACTAACCCGGTTGCATATTATGTCGGAACATAAACAAAACAAGTAGACGGTGTAGTACTTCGGTACTATCATGGCGACCTCTTTATACTTTTACCTTCGAGTCGTCTTTTTGTACCACATATCCGCTTAAAGAGTAAAATAAGTATGTAATTCAATTGCTGTAGATTAAAGTCTCTTAATCTTTCTCAAGAATTTCAAAATTTGAATTAATGACTTTCTATCCTTGAACTTAGTTCAAAACATTGGTATTTCGCGACTGAAACTGAGACATAATTAATGACTAATCTTATCCTACAAGAAAAATATACCTAAATAGAATTGCCGAGTTCAGAGTTTACTTGATCTCCTTATATAAGAGTCTATTTCACTACAGCGGCGTGTCTTATAGGGGGCCAGGGGGGGGGGACGCCCCCTCCGCCCCTATGCGCTTAGCGCCTCTGGCGCCCTTTGGAAAAAAAATAGAAAAACTAAATTTAACACAAAAACAAAGGGTGCCCTACCATGCCCTTAGCTCTTCAAGATAAAAAAATGACGTATATATTTCTCACATTTCATTTTTGTTTTTTAATGTTTACTTATATTTAATAATTTAAATCTCTAATGAAATAGGCGTACACGTACGAAAGTTTTCATATGGGTTTGAAACTACGCCACCGCTAGACCATTGTCGATAAATAAAAATACAATGGCTAGACATAACGTTGCGCCGGCGCCGCCAAAGAAGAAGACGAAATCAGTCGCGATGGAAATAAATTCGGGGAATCACCGACCGAAATATAATCGATTATAATGAAGTGATGAATAAAATTAATATATTGTCCAATCACTTGCAAAAGGTTAATATCAACTTATGTACAGCTGCTCATATGATTACTGCGGTAACTAAAGATCTCAAATCATTAGAAAGTGAAAAATATTTTGAAAATTTTAAAAAACAGGCTACTATTTTGGCAAATAAATGCAATACGTCAACATCATTTTCCATAAAAAGACAAAGAAGAATAAAAAAAATCATGATGAAATCCAGAATGATTACCTACATCAAAATTCTGAAGATAATTTCAAGATATCAGTGTTTTATGGTACTTTAGACATTTTAACTGATACTCTGGAGAATCGGTTTGAAGAAGGTTTGAAGACTTCCTCAATAAATGCCAAAAAAATAATTATTGTTTATTGGATATGGACGTCAATGATGACAATTTAAAATGTCTTATGGATCTACAGATATTGTACCAAGCGGATGTTAAACCTTTTTGCAGTTTATTAGAAGTAATTAATGCAGATGACAACACACTTGCACCTGACGAATATTTATCATTTTTAATTTCCAATGACCTAGAGTCTTCATATCCATCTTTATGTGCATTACTGAGGCTTTGTACACTATAGCTACCAACAGTGCCGGTGCAGAATGATCTTTCAGTAGATTAGGAAGAATTAATATAATTACTAGAGGTGTACCAGCACACAAGATAGAACCAATTATTTATCACTTCTCAGTATTGAAGCAGACACAGCCCAGGATCTAAATATAGATGAAATGATTGATTGTTTTAAATCGGTTGAAACAAGACGCTTACATCT